TCCGTAACTCACAAATTCACGCGAACCTTCAAATCGAAACCGTGCAACAGTTCGTCTCAAAGCTACATGAAAACTTCAAAACTCGCGTCCTAGACCACCCAAACCCACTCATTAAAGACACGTTTACACAAACTATCCCAAACCAACGATTCAAAACCCCGACAAGTTTAATGGTAGACCCCCCTGGAATCACCCGCCTTAAGCAGGTGATTCCCGACATCTCAAACCTCCTGGAAAGTACCTAAACTCTCAAACTCTTCCAAATTAACTCTCTAGGCCAACCGCCACAAACCACTACTTTTCGCGCTCCGTACCCCTACTTTTTTTTCTTCTTCGTCCGCTCTCAGCCCGAAACCACCAAAAGATTTTTCAGATTTGAATGAATTTTCAATTTTGAATGAGTGCGCACAAATCCAAACAAAGCAAATGTCATTATCGTATTTACAACGTATGCCCGTACATTCCTGTATAGACAGAGCACATTTAAGAACTATTTACAAAATCTCCTGATCTGAAGCGTCCTCCTTGGGATATCATCTCATATCTTAGTAGACAAATGTAAATAGTGGTTAAGTGAGTCGCACACCGTGTCAATGAGTACGACTACTGCACTTATTGGGAATAAAACACATTGATTGTAGTATTATTGTTGAGAAATACATTAGACAAAACTGAACTTTTGAAAAAACTTTCTTCGTTTTCCAGGATCCGATGGCCAGTACGGATATTAATGGAAACGACGACGATCCAATGCCCCAAGATAACGGAGACAATAAACATGGCACGAGATGTGCTGGAGAAGTTGCTGGAGTGGCTTATAATAGCTTCTGTGGAATTGGAGTAGCTTATAACGCCAGCATAGGAGGTAATACTTTAGCAGGGAATTGCCAGTTTGAAGTATTTCATATTTTCCAACAAGGGCCAGAAACTTCGCCTAATACAAATTTAACCGTTTTATGCAATGTGTTCCTTATACGAAAAGCGCATGAAGTAACACTTTATAGGCTTTGATGCACGCATCATATTTGACGTGATTTCGCAAGAAGAAAAGCAATTTACGATTACGCAAAAGCGTACTTTACGACGTAGCTCAATCCTAAACTGAATGATTTAGGAGTTACAGAGATTTGGTTTTAATTTTCCATAAATATTTTTCCATATCTATCTTAACCTTTGTTGTAAGCACGAATAAATTTTGCATGTTTTGTTTGTTACCGGCTCGGGTGGTTTTTGCTACGAAATTTTAAACTCTATTTTAATTTTTTAATAAAAAATAAAAAGCCAAGCCTACAATACATATTTGTAAGAAAATAACATTTTCACGGCACATTTTTTCATTTTTATTCATGAAATAGAATTTCTTATTCTGCAACGTTTCCTACCGGAGATGTGGGCATTAAAGTTGATTTGAACAGCCGGTTTTAACACAGCACGGTTTTAATAACTTGTTTTGAAATATATGGAGAATATAACATTAATTAAAAATGTATATATATTTAAATCTAAACTAGTCCAAGTTATCACAAGCAAAATCAAAACAATCTACAGTCGATCTAGGTATATCCAGAACGAAGCATCTCAAACACAGTTCCACAACACAGTTAGCAAAATAATTAATTGTTTTTAATTTTTCAATCTTAACTTTAACACTCTGTATTTTGAAAACCATGCACGTTTGGTTTATACAAATTAGGTTAAATCATCATGTTGTTGTCACCTGCGGTAAAATATGCGGTAAGATGTTGTACATGTCCGTTGGTACTCAACTTTCGAAAAAAAGTTTCATATGAAAGTTGTTGACGCACAAAGTGAGCACATTTTAAAAAGATCTTATATGATACAGAGTTTCTCAGAAAAGCGAGGCAAGATCAAAGTGTATTTTTTTAAATAGAACTACCCATTTTTCATTAGCTCATCCAATGCAGCTTGAAACGCTGCATATGCACCGTAAATTGTTTCTTTTTTACTCGCGACGTTGGCAGATTATCGCCATTTTAGTAAAATTTTGCTAAAAATTATGGTATCTAAAAATTAATTGTTGAAGCAAAAAAAAAGCAGCTAAAGGTAAAAAAATACGTCATTTCAATCGCCACAGATCCGTTAAGAATTCTATTTTTCTATTCTATTCTTTCAAATTTATTGAGTATGAGTTATTAAAACCTGTTCTTTGTCTGCAATGAAATGTTTTTTTATCGGAAGAAATTTTTTGTTGAATTTTTTGTAAAGTTATAGTCTGCAATTGAATGATTTGTGTTTGTATATATTGGCATTTGCGCAATATCAAGCTAACACTGCAAAATTGTGAATTAAGCAAAGCATGCCGTTACAAACTAAGTTTACAATTAAGCTTGAAAACCGTTGTTATGTTCCGTGTTCCCTGTAGTTACGTGCCTTGTTAAAAGTAAAGGCGTTTTTTAAAGACGTATTTTCTATTCGCTCTCACGTAAATATTGTCACGTTTTTGTTTGTGAAGGGAAAAAGGTAATATAGACATTAGGTCCAAAAAAACTTTTAAACTCTGCAACTCAGACAAGAATAGATCGTTATTTAATGTTATCTAACAGATCGAATTACTCGAAAATATGTCTTAGACAAATGCTACAAGTTGAGATACATGGTCAACAAAAGAAAAATATCATCATCAGTTCGGTCGGATTCTCTTTAAGTTCATGGAGTCCATCTCGTCGGGGGTCGTCCGCTACTTCGATAGGCCTCACATGGTGGTCTCCATTCGATAATTTTTAAAGTCCGTCGATCGTCTCTAGTTCTCGCAACGTGACCTGCCCAGTTCCATTCTAGAGAGGATATTTTCTTTACTGCATCCGTAACTCCTGGCCTGTGCCGTATATCTCTGTTACTTATTCTTTCGCTAAGTGATACCCCCAACATCGATCTTTCCATTGCTACTTGTGTTGTTCTTATTTTATTAATCGATTTCTTAGTTAGTGTTAGGGTTTCGCCTCCATACGTCATCACTGGCAGGACACATTGGTTAAAAAGTTTGCGCTTTAAACATATGGGAAGTTTAGACTTGAATGATTCTCTGCGGTAGCCAAATGCTGCCCATGTCAAACCTATTCTCCTAAAGATTTCAGAGGACTGATTATCCCGGCCCGGATTTTGTGGCCCAAGTATTTATATGATGTCACTTGTTGTACTTTATTATCACCTAAGGGTATATTGGTGGATATTACTAGATTAGTCATAAATTGAGTTTTTGATATGTTGATATTTAGCCCAACTTGTCCGGATGCCTGCTGGAGTTTTTCAAGAGATGCTCTGGTATTGTCAATACTGTGTGAGATTAAAACTATATCATCGGCGAACCTGAGGTGGTTGAGGTTTTCACCGTTGACATTAATACCCATATCATCACAATCTATTATTTTACACATGTATTGAAGTTATGTATTAAACAGTCTAGGGGAGAGAGTATCGCCCTGTCGAATTACACGATTTATATTAAATTTGTCAGTTTCGCATGAAGTCTAACATGAGCTGCGGCAGTGTCATAGATGTTCTTTATGAGTGCTATATAGCGGTGGTCGATACGGCAACTTGCTAGGGCTAGGAGCATCTCATGCTGGTCCACAGTATGGAACGCGTTTTCATAGTCTACAAAGATCAACACTAGTGGTTTGTTGTATTCGACACGTTTTTCTATTAGAGATTTTATCACTTGTAGGTGATCGTTAGTACTATAGCCAGAACGAAATCCAGCCTGTTCACAGGGTTGGTAGCTGTCAATTTTGTTGGTGAGCCTCTTTCTAATAACTGCCATGGATAGCTTGTATACGTGGGACAGTAGGCTTATTGGTCGATAATTCCTCAGATCTGTGACATCGCCTTTCTTGTGCATAATTATGATAGCATTTGTCCATTGAGAAGGTGTTGTACCCTTTAGTAATCCGTCACTACTATAAGCAATTCACTTCCGTGAATTCACTACTGTAACATTGTTCCCATGTTTATCTGCTAACTTCCAGATGTTTCTTTTGCCCAAATTCAGTCTGCGTCGGAGTATCTTCATGCTTTTATTTTATTCAATCCTTTTTTCTAACTGTAATGTGTTATATGTTCTGATGTCTTTTCTGATAGCTTTAGAGATGTCTTTATTTAGCTGTCTTAGAGAGGTATAGTTTGTTGTATATTTGTCCAAAACTTCCCTTCTATACTTCATCATATTTAATGTGTTTGTACTCAATTTTTCTTGCCTTTTCCTAATTTTACTACAGCTTTCTTTTCTGGCTTCTTGTATCGTATGGATAATTTGCTTATTCAGGTCTTCAACGTTTATGTGTTCTTCATTTATGTTTTCAACATGTTGTAGATTAGACGTAACCATTGTTTCATAGGCATCTATATCATAAATGCGGTTCTGCTTAAGCTTTCGTGTTCCAGATATCATTTTTTCTCGTTCTTTCCTTGTGTTGATTACAATTTTTGTTCGGACTAGGCGATGGTCACTGCCCACGGTGAAATTGTTTAGTACGGTGACATCTTGTATTATATCCTTTCTATTTGATATTATAAAATCAATTTGGTTCTTCGTAACACCGTCGGGACTCAGTCAAGTCCACTTGCGCTGGTCACTCTTTTTAAAAAGGTAGTTCATACATAGCAGTTTATGGTGCAACATGAAATTCAGAAACATACCGCCTCTCCCGTTTCTTTCTCCATAATCGTAGGGACCCAGAGCAAATTCACTATTGACTAATTTGTTGCCTAATTTTGCGTTAAAATCGCTAAGGATCGTACACTGTGCTTGGTCTTGTTGTATTGCTTTAGAGATATCTTCGTAAAAGTTGTCGACTTCATCGTCACTGTGAGTTGATGTTGATGCATACACTTGGATCATTTTCATTTTGTTTCTCTTATTAATCTCTAGTAATAGATATATAACCCTTGTTGAGATACTTTCGATTTTTAGTATACTGTTTTTGTGTGTTTTGTTGATGATAAAGCCTACTCCCCCTTCTAGCATTTCTTCCTTTCCTCTGTAGTGGAACAGATGCCCTGATTTGAGCTCTATTTGGTTCTCTCCCTTGCGTCGAACTTCACTGATTCCTAAGACGTCCCATTTAATGTAACTTAGCTCTTCTTCAAGTTCGTGCATTTTTTGGTCGGTTGATAGTGTTCTTATATTATACGTGGCAATATGCATTTCCTTTTTTCCATGGTAGCCAGATCTATCCCGGAGATTCTTCGCACCCTTTGCCCTTAGCCTTGTCTGATTGCTACCGTAATCAGGGACTATTAAGCCGCCGGGGACTAAGGGCCATTGTGTATTTTGTGCGTACACGATTTTATTTTCTGTGGGGTTTATTTAACCTAATACCCTACCACGCTGGCCATTGCGAGATGGTAGAGGGATGATATGACGGATTACATTTCCTTAATCCTCGGTTTAACAGTTATACCGCTGTAACTCGGTCGCCAGAGCCTCGTTAGCTGTCTAGCAGGAGGTACCGGGTGGCTGAGGGGATCGGCCACCACTCGTGCAGGTGAGGTTAGCATTTGAGCAGGCTTCATCCAGTTGCCATCGCTCCTTACCCCCCTTGAAGAAAAATATGTGTTTGAAAAACTCCAATAAAGATAATCTCCAAAAAAGAGGAAAAGGAGTTTTTGAATCACTAAACCTTGTTATTACTGTAAGTTTACATCAGCGGATATTTGGAAGCTATTCGGAACCCATCTGCATCAGTGAGACAGATTCATATGCCGCCGCAAACATACACTCTTCATAATATATTTACTAAACCAAGAATGCAGTAAAATAAGAATATTTAAAAACAAAACTAAATAAAGTAGCGCAAACATTTACATATCCAGAGGTTCCAAGCATCCGTATCAGTTATAAAAGAT